GGGCGGGGCGGTGCGAACGGTTTGGGGAGGCGTTGGGAGGGGTGTGCGGGGCGCCGCCCGTCAGCGCGGCGCGGCGCGCCGCGCGCAGTGCCGCCTGCGCTGTGTTGGGGTGGATTGCGTGCGCAGAAAACCGCGGGCTTGACGGGCGGCGCGAGGGCTGAAGGGGCGCTGGGAACGCGACGGCGAGGGCTGTGCACTGACGGTGAGCTGGCGGTGAGACGAGGCAACCCCCGGCAGTGCCCGAACATCAGGTCTGCCAGCGCACCAGCTGCTGCGTGCCCGCATCTCCAGCGGGCAGTGGCGCGTAACCAGAAGCGTCTGGCGGCATTGCCGCCTGCGGGTTCAAGGCGGAAGCAACGAGTGCCAATGATCAACTGCTGCCCTTGTTGTCCCAGTCTCACCGCCCCAAAACAGGTTTTCACAAAACAAATGCAATCGCATAAGGCAACACAACACGCTTCAGCGAGCTGGCCGGGCCGCTCGGAGGTGCGCTCCGGCACACAGCAGCACCTTGCCCCCCGCACCTCGAGTCGGTCTGCATGGCTCCGAGCAGAGACTGCATGTCAAAATGTGCTACTGCTGCATACCGTCCTCTCAGCGCCCTCTCACAGTCCTATCCCCCGCGCTGCCTTGCCCGGACCTCGACCTCGACTTAGCAGCGCACTGTTTCTGATGAACCGCTAAAAATGTGCAAAAACTTGATATGGAAACAACGTAACACACAGGTCCTGGCAATGTGTGTAGCCCCCTCCCAGATAGGAATTACATCTGCTGCTGCCCGGACCAGAAGCCAACCCGCGGCCTGCACTGCAAATTGACGTGCCCTGATACTTGATACATGCATTGATTTGAAAAATATTATCTGGTCCGCTTGGACACATGTCGGTCAATCGCTTGTGCTACCCAGCCCCTGTGGGCATGTGGGGGCGATGCCCACCTGGCGTGGCCATGCACACGGCGCTGTGTTACTTATGCACCTGGGATTATGCATACAAAAGGCAAACATGCATGTACTGAAGCGCCACAGGTGCAAATATGCCGGTTCATCCGAAGTCAACGCAGGCAAGGGCGATGAGCACGCAAGCGACAAAGCAGGACCCAGGATGAGCCCTAGCCATCCGTACAGCAGATGTAAGGCTTAGGGACTTGAGGATACTCATCCAGCATGCTGACCGCAGGCCAATCGAGCAGCCGCAGCGGCAGACGGGCACCAAGCGGGGGGAGTGGCCCGCCTGCATGCACAGCGCCGCGGCGCCAAGCGCCACGCGCAGATGACATCAGACCCACTCCTCCTCATCAAACGCCGCGTCGTCAGCGGCCTCCATTATGAACTCGTCCGCGTCCGCCGGCGCGGCCTCCTCCTCCTCGCCGTCTTCGTGCATGCGGGCGCGGCATCAAGGTCGGTCGGCAGGGGCGCCGCTGGGGTCGGCGCGACTTCAGGATGTGAGCCCATAACAGATAGAAATCAGGGGGCACAGCTGGGACACGGCACAAGAGCGCGACTTTGCAAAGCATGCAGAGGGGAATTTTAAGGGCGCACTGACCACACCTGCGTTGACGCGCACCCAGCCAGGGGGCGGCCCCCGGTCCTGGACCGCCGCCGCCGCTGCGGCAGCCGCCTCGGCAAATCCGCCGCGAGCCCCGGCGGCCGCGTCGCCTCCACCGCCGCCTGCGTCGCGCTTTGGGCGGGGGCTGAAGCCCGGTAGCTCAAGCGCCAGCGGCGCGCGCCTGCGCCGGCGCGGTCGCTGCGCGGGGGCTGCTGCTGCAGCAGGGTGCTGCTGCCCTTCGGACCCGTCCAGGGCCATGGGCCCGGCGCCATATACCACGCGCACGCCCTGCGAGCGCGGCGCGTTTGCGACACCATGACATGGGGCACTGCGCGCGTGTTCGGCGGCAAGCCGGCGCTTCAAGGTGCACGGCGAGGGCGTGGCCTAAGGCCTGAGCAACCCAGCCGTGCAAGTGCCCCAAATGGTATGCCGGTCCCCGCACTCTGCATGTCAGCAGGCAGGCAGGGCGGGCCTACCGACCTCGTCCGCCGCGCCGGCGGGCGCCGCAGCCAGGTGGTGCCCGCTGCTAATGTGCCGCCTGCTGCGCTGCGGCTTCGGTCCCTTGAAGTCTAGCGCTGGCGCCGGCGTCCTGAACAGAGATGCCAGCAGCCAGATGCAGCACTTGTGGCGGATGCCCGCACACGGCGTTGGCACAGACACCCAGGCCGCCTTAAGACAAAACGCCAAGATGTGCGGCGTGAACGGCACATGCACAGAGCATGCGGGCGACGAGGGGAAGCCCGGCCCTGCCTCACCATCCGAGCGCCTTGGACCTCAGGTGGGCCACCCCCAGCTGCTGCGTGAACAGCCGCACCGCCACCGCGCGCCGCCGCCGCTGCAGGGCTTCGTCTTCCCCGCGCGGCGCGTCAGCCTCGGCGGCCATCGCCGTTTCGAGCGTTGGGCAGCCGGCCGCGGCGTGGACACTGTTTTGGCGGCCTGCGCTTGGTGGACGCAGCCCAGGGCTGTCCCTGTCAGTGAATGCCAATGCTGCTCGCGGGTGCCGCTGAGCACGGCCAGTCCCGAGGCGGCTCAATCCTCCTTGGCTTCCAGGGGTGGGTCGGGCTCGTTGAACGCCACCACGACGAATGACGCGATGACCTGCAGCGAGGCAGGGGAGCAGGCGCATGGCGGTGGCGCGCATTTCGACGGTGCAACAGTCAGAGCATGCTTGCTCTGAGCGGCTGCCGGACCCTCTGCCTTGATCTTCTGTACAGCCGCAAGCTCGTGCAAGAACGGCCAGCAAGGCGCGCCTGCCGCCAGCCGCTGCTGCGCTTTGCCGGCCCTTCGAGCGCTTCGCCGGCTCGCAGCAGCTTGAGCGCACCGCGTTGACCCCCAGCACGGCCAGTACCGCCCCAACGGTCGTCTTGTTTTCGCTGCTGGGGATGCCGAACGTCCGGGCGTACACGGCTGCAAACGAGACGATTGGAACGGGTTTGCAGGTTGCATGCATCAGCAGGTCGTCGTTGCCTGTGAAACAGGGCATCGCCATGCGGCTGGCTGGCGCGACGGGCGCCAAGAGAGAGCACTGCTGTTACAGGGGCTCCCTGCCTGCCTGCCAGGCCGACTCACGGTCCAGGAGGCCAGAGTAGGATGCAAAGAAGAGACTCAGGGGCAGCACCAGCATCAGCAGCGAGTGCACTGCGATGTTGATGGCGACGCGCGGCTGGACAGCAGCAAACGCGGGCGGCGCAGCGGCAGTGGCGCCGGATGCGCCGCTGGCCTCCCTTGGCGGGGCGTTGTCGTCCTGCTGCGAAATGAGTTGTTCGCTTTGGTCTTTCGCTGCCCCGCGCCTCTGGACCGCCATTAGCTATCGGCAAACGACGATCTCAGATCCAGCACCCTTATGAACATATATACAAGCAAGACATTTTTTGTTTTAGCGCGCCGGCGAAACATGGTACCATATCATACACCAGGCGCTCTCATTTCGAGCGGTCAACTGCTGAGTGCTCGCCAGCCTGGCGGTGCATTCAGGATCGACCAAGTCGAGCCGAGCGCCATTGCATGCATCAGATGTTCAAAGGTGGTGTTCGTACAAGACACTTCACGGTCAAGCCCAAGTGAGCAGTCGCAGGCCCGCAAGGACAGCTGCTGCCGTCGCCCCACCAACCCCATGACTGCACCCATCGGCGCACTGCAGGGCACAGCAAGGCCTGAATAGCGTCAAGCCTGCCTGTGCCTCCTGTGCAATTGCAACCCCATGGAATCCCAGTCAATGCAGTCAGTTTCTTCTTCAGCGGCGGTAGGATTATCAGCGCCCCACTTGATGGCATGCAGCGCAAACACAGCTTCGATTACTTCAGTGCGCAACCAACACGCCTCACATCCCAATGCAAGCCCAGGTTGAAGCCTGCGAACAACGCTCCTGTGCACCGCCACCCCTCAATCCGCCACTGTCCTGTCCTGATCGTCACATCTACACCCTCACTGCGACAAAGTCAGTGATTTAGGAGTCCATGGATTTGTACATTCATGCATGCCCGTGCAAGCAGGCCACATTACCAGCCCACTTGAGCCTGTGGCGCGTTCCGCAATCCTACTGCCTGCCTGGCTAACGGCGGCTGTATGGGCAACACGCCCTGTCACTACTGTACCTCTCCTGGCGCCTTTCTGATGCACATACCCTAAGCAAACGTTCAGCCATAGCGCGACTTCATGCACCGGTGTGCAGCAAGACTGCGGGGACGACACTGAGTGTTCAAGTCGTTGCTGGCTCAGGCTTTTGCAGGGGCCGGACAAGACTGCTGCACCATAATCACTCAGAGGGCGCGAGAAGGACTTTGAAGAGGGTCACCGCCATCGCATCCAGCACTGATGCCTCCAGGCTGCATCAGTGCCTCCTACCGGCAAAAGCATCATCATACAGGCGGGGGCCCGCGCCATCGCACGGTCCGGTGGTCGTGCAAGAGGTGGCGAATGAAGAACATCTCAACTCACATACTGTAAGTTCAAGAGAAAGTCCTGCACCGTGATGAAGCCAACTCGAACTGCGTACTGTACAGTGTCGTGAAAATTGATCCGAAACGGTCTCCTGCCAGACAGGGGCATCATAGAGGCTGTGTGGACTGCAATAGCAGTAAATACACGTTTATGTCACTCACAATGATCCTGGACTGATACAGCACGTTTTGGCGGTATTGCGAAGTTTGATCTGGACCTGCACGTGCCCAAAGTGCGTAGGGGACATATTGAGGGGCTGTTATACACGCTTATAGTGTTCTGGATTTCACTGCACGTGCCAGGCATCGCGTGAATCACTGGCAGCTGGCTGCCTGCTCAGGCTTCCGCTGAGAAGAAAGCTGCACCCGTTGCAACAAACACCATTCTTATACGTGTCACACACAAACACGATCACACAAACAATTTGAAACTCATCCAGAGACTTTGACAGGAACCTTTTCACGACACTGCTTGACGACGTGCCATCCGTGCCGGGACCAAGGCCGCAGCCATGCTGCAGCAGCAAACGCGTGTCCGCATCGGACAGAGCCTGAGGCAGACCGTGCCGCACGGCCTGCGCGCGGTCCCCGCCCCCCGCGGCAGGAGGTGCGCCAGCTGCAACCGCCGCGTCGCCATAGGCCCAGCTGACCCAAGTGGCCACCCCTGCCCGGCGGCCCAGCGCCCTGTGAAATCACAGACTGACACCCTTGCGTTCCTGATTGACAGCTGGCTGGGCTGCGCCTGTGCCCCGCACTCCCGCATGCACGCAACGTGACGTCCGCGAGCGACAAACAACCCTGCCAAACGTCACGTTGCGACAGGCCACGCACGCGCACCGCCGCTCTCTGGCCCCACCTCGCTCCCCCGCCTCTCCATGCCCACCACCGCCGCCCTCGCCATGCAACCCTCTCCCCAATCAAACCGCCCCTCAGGATCGCGCTCCCCCGCCTGCCATGCGGCCCAGTCCGCTACCGCGATGAGAAGCAGGACGGCGCCACGCCCGCCTCCGAGGCGGCGCCCCTCAAGGCGCCCGCCCCCGCGCCGGCCGGCGCGCCGGCCACCAACGGCGCCCCCAAGCCCGCCCCCAAGCAGGCCGCTGTCGATGGCAACGAGGCGACCGCCCGCATGGCCTACGCCCTAAGCGACGTGTCTTTCATCTACCCCATCACGCCCGCCACGCCCATGGGCGAGCTCTCGGATCAGTGGGCGGCAGAGGGCCGCAAGAACGTGTTCGGGCACGTCATGCAGGTGGGGCGCCCCGCATGCGCCCGCATGGTTTGTCGCCGCACGGGCGCCCGCATGGAGTGGCCCGTGTCCAGCCGCGCGCATACTGCCGTTGCCAGGCGGCGCGCGCACCTCGGTGCATGAGGGCGACCCATGTCCCCCGGGTCGGAGTCAGCAAGCAGTGCGCGCACACGTGCCTGCTGTCCATGCAAGCTGGCACGGCCAGCACTCCCACAGCACCCTCATCCGCTCGCGCGGCCCTGCTCCTCATTGGTGAAGTCTTCGATACTCTCCCATCCCCCGACGCGAAGACATCCTCCCGTCGCACCACGTCCCCTTTCTGCCGGCGCCCCCGCCCCGCCGCCCCCCAGGTCACAGAGATGGAGTCTGAGGGTGGCGTCGCCGGCGCCCTGCACGGCGCGCTCGCCGCCGGCGCGCTGGCCACCACGTTTACGTGCTCCCAGGGCCTGCTGCTGATGATCCCCAACATGTACAAGATTGCCGGCGAGCTCATCCCCTGCGTGCTCCACGTGACGGCGCGCGCCCTCGCTGGCCACGCGCTCAGCATCTTTGGAGACCACCAGGTGTGCATGTCTGTGCGGAGGGCGGGCGTGTGTCGAGGGCAGGGTCCAGCGCCCAGGCGTGTGGGTTGCCTCCGGGGTGCTGTTGGCGACGAACCCCCTCAGGCTGGGCTCACCTTGGTTCAGCTGCATGCAGCCTGCGTTTGTTGCCGCCACTGCACACATGCACGGTTGCGCTGGCGAGCCCGCCCCACGCATGCGGCGACCCCTCCGGCTCCGGCGCGCGACCGGCGGCGCCCTCCACCCCCGTCCTTTCGTGGCGGCCCGCAGGACGTCATGGCAGTCCGCCAGACCGGCTGGGCCATGCTGTGCTCACACAGCGTGCAGGAGGCGCAGGACATGGCGCTGGTGGCCCACCTGGCCACGCTCAAGGCGCGCGTGCCGTTTGTGCACTTCTTTGACGGCTTCAGGACCAGCCACGAGATCAACAAGGTAGGCGGGTGCTGGCGCGGGGCCGCGCTGGCGACGCCCTGCCTGTCAGCGCCTGGAAGGGCCGCGCGAGCGGGCTGTCGATCCGGCCGTGCACGGCGGTCCCGTTGGGGTCCCGGCACTGGGGACCGCCTGGGCGTCATCGGTGTGCGGCGCGATTCGCCTTTGCCATCTGCGTGGCGTGACGTCCGCCGTCGAGGGTTGAAATTCACGTGCGCGCCACGCACCGCTCCTCTCCAGATCGACCTGATTGACCCCGAGTCCATCAAGCCCCTGGTTGCTGAGCTGGCGCCATACATCGAGGACCACCGCAAGTGAGCCGCGCTGCCGGGCGAGCAGCAGGCGCCCGTGCAGTGGCGTAGGGGGCGCCCCGAGCTGCAGCGCAGCGCATGCCTGCCGACCCAGCAAAGCAGCTGTGTTCATTGCAAATGCGGTTATTTAAATGCAGTGGGGGATCAGCACGCCTTGGCGCCGTGCTGAGTCCGGATGCGTGCCCCCCCCCCCGCCCCCCGCCAGGCGCGCCCTCAACCCGGCGCACCCGCACCAGCGCGGCACGGCCCAGGGCCCCGACGTGTACTTCCAGGGCGTGGAGGCGGCCAACCCCTTCCACCAGGTGCGTGGAATGGTGGCATACGGGGCCACTCCTCCCTCACAAAGTGCTGGGTGCTCCTTGTGCTGAGGAGGCGATTGGGAGCCTCCCTCGCCTTGCAGCACAGGGATTCTGAGCCGGCTCTCTCAGTGCAGGTTGGGGTGGGCTGCGCACAGCTTCCTCCCCTGGAGAACCTGACTCATTCTGGCTCAGCCCCCCGCCAGCCCTCGCCTCACCAAAGAGTTCACGCCGCCCCCGCCACTCGCTCCCCCACCTGCGCCCCTATCCAGGCAGTGCCCGCGCTGGTCCAAGAGGCTTTTGACAAGGTGGCCGCGCTGACGGGGCGCCAGTACCGCCTGTTTGACTACGTCGGCCACCCCGAGGTGCGCGCAAGCGAGAGGGTGCGGCCGCCGCTGCTGCCGGGCTACCGACCGCCGGGCCCTGCCGCACCATGTGAATGCAACGCCGCCCCTTCGGCCTGCCACACGCGAACTCATTTTGGCTTCATGGCTGAACGTCCTGCGCCCCCCTGCGCGTTTGTGGCAACCCTGCCGCCAGGCGGACCGCGTGGTGGTGGCAATGGGCAGCGGCAGCGAGGTGCTGGAGGCCGCCGTGGAGCACCTCAACAAGCGGGGCCAGAAAGTCGGCCTCATCAAGGTGTGTTTGCGCGCTTTTTGGTGTGGACCGTCCATTGATATGTCATGTGTGTTAGTGCCCCGACGCTATGCGTGCTGCACGCAACGGAGCCGGCGCCTCTGCTGGCCGCACAAGCACTACGGCAGGGCCCAGCGACTGCCGCCGGCGGCTAGACGTAGTGTGAGGCCCGCCTGGCGCTCGTGCTTGCGAGGTCCTCAGGCGTTGCCGCGGCTCGCCGCTCCCTCACCCCCCTCTTTGCGTGCCCCCCGCCGCCTCAGGTGCGGCTGTTCCGCCCCTGGTCGGCGGAGCACCTGCTGGCGGCGCTGCCGGCGACGGTGAAGCGCATCACGGTGATGGACCGCACCAAGGAGCACGGCAGCGGCGGTGAGGCACGCCCGCACCGCACACGCACGCATACACCCGCACACGCACGTGCTCCCGCACGCACAAGCAAAAATGCAAACGCAAAGAGAAGCAGTGGTTTGGGCGGCACTTGCGCTGCCAACCTGCGCCAGCTCAATCAGCAACGAGGGAGGCTGCACCGCGGCTTGCTTGCGCACGCCTGATCCATGTGGTCGGTCGTGCCGGCGGCCGGCGGGACCCTCTACTTGACATGAGTCTCTGAAGTTCACACACATTACTCTTGCAAAACAGGCGAGCCGCTGCTGCTGGACGTGTCGTCCACCATCCAGCGCCACAAGCGCGACATCCAGGTCCTCGTCGGCGGCCGCTACGGCCTCGGATCCAAGGTGAGTGCGTCTGTCCCGCCCTCCTCCCTCACCGGCCTCTGCTCGGCCGGCCGCGATCGAGCTCAACGGATGACACCCAGGCCTGCTGTCCACCCACCAGCCTGCTGACTGCACCTGCCGGCCCGCGCGCCGCCCGGCTGCACCTGGGTCGCTGAGACACGCACCGCCGGCATCCCACTCCTTTACCGGGGGTGACCCCGCCCCTCCCTAACCCCCCCCTCTCGCCCCCAGGACTTCACCCCGGCCATGGGCGTGGCCATCTTCAACAACATGGCCGCCCCCGACCCGGCCGCCGTCAAGGACGGCTTTGTGGTGGGCATCGTGGATGATGTCGGCTTCAGCCACCTCAGTGCGGGCGGCGAGCTCGAGGACGCGGTGCCAGAGGGCACCACTGAGTGCATGTTCTGGTGCGCTTCCGGGCGGGGCTGGTTTTTTTTGTGCAGGGTTGAGATGTGGCTGCAAGGACCGCAGGCTGCTGACCAAACAGTCTGGCGTCGCAGCCGGCCAACACCGCGCCAGCACGGCTTATGAAACGGATGCAAAATCCTGCAACGTTTGCAGGGGCATGGGCTCGGACGGCACCGTGGGCGCCAACAAGGAGGCGGTCAAGATCATCGCCGGCCAGGAGGGCATGCACGCGCAGGTGCGGCGCAGCCGGCTGGCGAGCCAGCCGGCCTCAGCTGCCCGAGCTGCGCCCAGCGTAGGCTTGGGGCGCCTAGCAGCCCGTGCTGTTGTTGTTGAACATCACACAGGGGCTTTCACAGCACACGCCAGCAGCAACACCGCGCAGCCACTCGTCAGACTGCGTGCAGACATCCGCCACGTCTGCCTCGGCCTGACAAGACCTGGACCCTCAGTCAGAAGGCCCTGTGACGACGAGGGCTGCAGGCCAAAGGCCGCAACACCCGACCACCTCTAACCACGGGGCCTGGAAGCTCAAGCCTGCAACACCCGCGTCCCTTTGTTTGCGCGCAACCACCACCACCCTGCAGGCCTACTTTGCCTACGACGCCCACAAGTCGGGCGGCGTGACGACCTCCCACCTGCGCTTCGGGCGCGCCCCCATCAAGGCGCCCTACCTGGTGGCTGACGCCGACTACATCGGGGTGCACCAGGCCCAGTACCTAGTAAAGTGGGCGGGCCTTGTGAATCAATCAGGGTTAAAGGTTGCAAGGGTTGAAGGGTTTTGCGGCTGTCCCCTTTTTCCCCCAGGGGCCCGCTGCCAGCGTTGGGCAGGTGCAGGGGCGCGCGCCTTTCCTCTTGGCAGCATCGCCGCGTCGGCGCGAGGGGCGTGGGTCGGAAGCCGCACGCCTGGCCATGGATGCCCCAATGATCGCCGCCTGGGTGGCTCTGGCCCCATGCACGAAACTACCCGGGTGCGCACACCGCAGGTACGACGTGCTGAGCCGCCTGCGCAAGGGGGGCGTGGTGCTGATCAACGCGCCCTGGAAGACGCTCGAGGTGCGCGGGCGGGCAGGGGCCCGCCCCAGCGGCCGAGGCCAACCTGTACGCTCCCGCCTCAAGGCGCAGCAAGCAGCAGCGGTGGTGGCGACATCAGACGTTGGGCACGTTCTCCACCTGAAACAACTCTAGACACATGCAGACGACGACAAATCAACTCCCGCGTTCTTTGCCACACCCGCCTCTACCGCACACCTGTCAACCTTCTCAATCTCAACCGCCTTCAACCGCCCCCAACCGCCCCCCAACCGCTCCCCCAGGAGGTCGAGGCACACGTGCCCGAGCGCGTGAAGCAGCAGCTGGCGCGCCTGCGGCCGCGGCTGTACACCATCGACGCCACCAGCGTGGCCAAAGAGGTCGGCCTGGGGCGCCGCACCAACATGGTCATGCAGGCCGCCTTCTTCGCGCTGTCGGGGGTCATGCCCTTGGACCAGGTGAGGGGGGGCATGGGAGGGTGCGTTTTGGTTTTGGGAGGGGAGGGGTGTGACACGGCAGGTGCGTTGTAGCAGGTGCAGCCGTCACACGAGCGTTTGCAGACATGCAAGTGCGGACATCCATACGAGCCCGAGCGCAGACGCACGTGTGCACGAGCTCTCATGCACGCACGCACGTGCGCGCGCGCGCGCGCGCCACACACACACACACACACACACACACATTTTCCCCTCCCAGGCCATCCCCCTGCTCAAGGCCAGCATCAAGAAGGCCTACGGCAAGAAGGGGGACAAGATCGTCAACATGAACAACGCCGCCGTAGACGCCGCGCTGGACAAGATGGTCAGCATCGACATTCCACAGGGCTGGCGCTCGGGAGAGGTGCGCTGCGCTGCGATGGGGCGGCGCTGCACCCCCCTTGTTGTTCCCCACGCATCCCATGCCCACGGGCCGGGGCAGGGCAAAGCGGCGTTCTGATGGCTTTTGACAGCAGCTGCTGGGCCCCTTCGCTGGGCCTCTCGGAGGGCTCGAGAGCCCCCGTCGCCCCGCCGAACCTTTCCTCGCGCCGCTGCCGCGCGGCGCGCACCACCCACCCGCTGCGCCGGGCCGGCGCCGGTCTGCTTGCCTTCACCCCCCGAGAGTCCCGCGGCCTGCCGCCCCCGGGCCGCCTTTTGACATTGGGTGCAGCCCCCTGCAGCTCAGCGCGGCCTCCGCCCCACCGCCGCCCCACAGGACGCGCAGTCTTTCGTGGGCACCGCCGAGAAGGCTGTGCACATCACCGGCGCCAGCAGCCCTGGCGACTTCCTCAACCAGGTGGTGATCCCTATGCTGGCTATGGACGGAGACAAGCTGCCAGTCAGGTGGGTTTGCGCGCGCGCGTGTGTGTGGATTGCGTGTGTGTGTGTGTGTTGGTGTGAGTTTGTGTGTGTATATGATCGTGTGTGCGCTCATTTGCTTGGGGCGGGGATAAGGTTGGGTGTCTGTGGCGCTGGGGGTTTTTCAGGGTTTGGGGGGTGGAGGGTCAGTGTTGGGTGTTTGGGGGTGTGGTTGTCGGCGAGGGGTGTCAAGCGGCGGTGGGACGAAGGGGTGAGGAGAGGTTTCAATTGGGTGAAAGGGATCCCGCAATGGGGTGCGGCACGGCGTTGGTGGGCGTGCAGGGCCGAGGGAGCGCCACGTTTCGCTGGCGCGTGTTGCGGTGGGCCCGTGGGGTCTGGTAGCTTCACCCCTCGCTGCTGCTGCTGTGATCACCGGGGCTGCCACGTCTCCACCATGCTCACCTACCCACTGCGACTGCAAACGACCCGTTCGCGCGCACCCCCCGCAGCGTGTTCGCCCCCGGCGGCACCTTCCCCCCCGGCACGACCGCCGTCGAGAAGCGCAGCATCGCGGACGCGGTGCCCGTCTGGGACTCTGCCGCCTGCACGCAGTGCAACATCTGCGCCTTCGTCTGCCCCCACGCCGCCATCCGCCCGGTGCGCCGCCGCGCCGCCGCCCGCCCCCGCCTTCCCCGCTGTCGCCGCACATGCATGTGGTTGAAGCCTCTCGCCACCCAGCCCTCAACAGCAGGCTGCCAGCGGCGCCCCCATTCACAGCATGAGACACCACTCTCCCTAAACCCTGCGCATCATTGCGGCCGCGCAGGCGCTGGCGACGCCCGATGAGCTGGCGGGGGCGCCCGCGGGCTTTGGCGCCGTGCCCATCCGCGGCGGCGGGCCGGCGCTCAAGGGCTACCAGTACCGCGTGCAGGTGGGCCGCGGGCGCCCCTTAAGCCCCCACTGCTGCCCAACCCCCACTTGTAGTCGCACCTCCATCGGCCCATCCGGCCCGCGCCTGCTCCCCCTCCTCCCCTACGGGCTGCCGCCCATTCCCACCCCACCCACAAACGGCACCCCGCCGGCGTCCGCCCCAAGGGCGCTCGCCTTGCACCACACAATGCCTGAACTCCCCAACCATCCCCAACAGCCAGTGATAATTGAGCTGCGCCCACGCCCGCAGGCCCCGCAGCTTCGCACCGCCTCGCTTGCACACAATCCCGCCGCACCACCCGCGCATCCTCCAGCACCAAATACACCTCAACCCCCCCTCCCTCCGCATCTCAACCGGCCCTTCCTCCTCGTGCGTCCTCGCACCCCCCAGGTGTCCCCCCAGGACTGCACCGGCTGCGAGCTCTGCGTCAACGCCTGCCCAGACAGCGCGCTGAAGTCGACGCCGATCGCGTCTGTCATGGAGGCGGAGAACGCAAACTGGGACTTCATGCGCGCGCTGCCCGACAGGCGAGCGAACACGCGTGTGGCCCCCTCCCCCGCTTCCTCGCACGCACCCGCCCAGCCGCCAGGTTTGGCCGCCTGCCCCACCCACCCACAGCGCGCGCCTTGCGCGGCCCCGCGCGCCCCCCTGGAAGACCTCCCCTCGCCCTTCATCCACCACACCGCACCAAAGCCTCTGCCTCTGCCGCGGCTCGCCGTCTCACACAGCCCGTAAAAACCCCCCTCTGCACCACCACCACCACCACCACCACCGCCATCGCCTCCCCCCAGGGGCGGCCTGTTTGAGAAGGCCACTGTGCGGGGCTCCCAGTTCCAGACCCCCCTGATGGAGTTCAGCGGCGCCTGCGAGGGCTGCGGGGAGACGCCCTACGTCAAGCTGCTGACTCAGCTCTTCGGCAGGCGCATGGTGCGCGGCCGCCCGCGCGCTCGCGTGCGCAGGGCGACGGGGCAGCGGGGTCGCCCGGCCTCACAAAATATTCGATGCGCTCCTGGATCCAGGGTAGTTTGTAAGGCAGGCGGCCGAGATGCGTTGCGACTGCAATTTCAAGCGGGCGCGGCCGACGATGAGCCATCGGCGAGCCAGCCAAGGGAGCGCCTAGAGCGCGTGCTGGCTTCATTCTCGGGGTTTCATTTTTCGTTTCTTGTCAATCACTCCCGCAGGTCGTGGCCAACGCCACGGGCTGCAGCAGCATCTGGGGCGGCTCCGCGCCCGCCAACCCCTACACGTGCGACAGCACCGGCCACGGCCCCGCCTGGGCCAACTCCCTGTTTGAGGACAACGCGCAGGTCGGCCAACATTGTGACACGGGATTACGTTTTGTGATTAGGAGGGGACAAACTGCGCTCTGCCGATGGGGCCAGGTGGATCGGCCTCTGTTCAGCCGTGTTCTTGAGCGCCGCCGGGCGCAAGTTGCTCCGCTGACGTCCTGGCCAAGCGGGCGCGCAGGCGGAGCACCCCTGCGAGCGGCCGCGACGCCTGTTTGGGTTTTGACACCCACACATTCCCGCCACACTCTTGCCAGCGATTGACCCCCGCTCTTTCAACTTCAAACGCCCTCCCATCCCCCACAGTTCGGCTTCGGCATCCGGATGGGCATCAAGCAGCGCCGCGAGGCGCTGGCGGCCGCCGCCGAGGTGGTCGTCTCGCAGGGCGTGGGGTCTGAGGAGCTGCGCGCGGCGCTGGGGGAGTGGCTCAAGGTGCGGGCGGCGCGCATGCGGAGGGGCGGCATCCGGGGCGGCCTTACCCCGGGGCGGCGGCACATGCAGCCTGTGCAGCGGGAGTGCCGCGCCGGCTTCCTGTGCCGCTTTTGGGCTGCTTCTTTGTGGCGCCTTTTGATCAAGATGTCGCACTCTTGCATGTTGCATTCTGGCAGCACCCCCAGCATGCCATTTTTCGAATTCTTGAATTTTGAAACCTGCAAAATCGGCGCGACCGCCGGAACCAAACTCGAATCCCCGCAGGTCAAAGAGAACGGCGCCCTCGCCGCCACCGCCGGCCGCGCCGTCGAGGCGGCGCTCGGCGCGCTGCCGGCCGCCGCGCGCGGCGACGTCGCCACCGCCGGCGGCGCGGCGCTGGCGCACGTGGCGGGCAACGTGGATCTGCTGGACAAGCCCAGCGTCTGGATTATTGGCGGCGACGGCTGGGCGTACGACGTGAGGGCCCGGCGGGCGGGGAGAGAGGGGG